TTTATGGGCCAACGACCTAATGAAACTAAATGTGTTTCAAGTAACGATGTTCGGCAGTTTATAGCATGGCTGTCGCTCCAGCGTTTTGCCGCGTCAACTATAGCTACTTATGTATCGGCGGTGGGCTATTTTCATAAGCTTCAAGGTTGGCTCGATCCCATGCGGGATTTTCTGGTGGGGAAATTATTGACAGGTTGTCGCCGGGATAAACCGGGTGGCGATGAACGGTGGCCAATGACCTTACCGTTATTGACCTATGTCATTAACGCACTCCCGCAAGTGTGCCACACAAGCTATGAAGCTGTGCTTTTCCGGGCTGCCATGTTATGCGCATTCTTTGGGTTTATGCGCATAAGCGAGTTCGCTGCAGTTGCCAAGTCTAACATCCAACAATCACTCCTCCATGTGTCCAACGTACATATTCAGGAGGCAGATGATGACAATGCAGCAGTGTTCATTTCCCTCCAGCACACGAAAGCTAATCAAACTGGCCCTCCTCAAGTTCTTCGCTTGGTGCGCTCAGTTGATGAACGTGTCTGCCCGGTCCGCGCGCTGACAAACTTCTCATGGATTCGCCCCACATCACCCGGCGCGTTCTTTTGCCACTTCGGGGGCGAGCCACTAACACAGTATCAATTTAATGCCACTTTAAGAAAAATTCTTTGTTTTTTAGGGCTTGCAGACACCCACTTTCGCTCCCACTCCTTTCACATCGGAGCGGCGTCAACCGCATTCGCTCTGGGTTTTCCCCTTGAGCAGATCAAGACAATGGGCCGCTGGCGTTCAGATGCCGCACAGCATTATATTCGCCCGCTGATATCGTGTCATTTTCCCAACGTTTAATCAGCCACAGACAATTGCTGGTCTTGTGTGCATAGCATAGGGAACTGTCCATCTTTTGGATGATATAATTAAGGATAAATTAAAAAAAAAATAATTTACATAAATAACTAAATTAAAAATAATAAGAAGAATATACAAATATATAAACTACTACAAGTAATACTAATATTTAACAGCAACAATGGCACCGGAACATTCCTGGTTCCTCTCCCCTTTGTTCACAGGGGATGTTTGGATACTTGGAGATTCCATCATAAGTCGAGCACAGACCACACTCCGGACTAGGCACGACGTCCGCTGGAATGGCCTGGGTGGAGCGAAATATGGTGACGTAACCAAATTAATGGCGGAACTAGCAGCAAGATGGCCTCGTCCGGCCATGCTAATCGTCCACTTAGGCACTAACGAGTTGGTCGAGACCAATTTTTTCTGTTTCCGACAAAGGCTGGCACTTTTTATGCAAGAGTGTCTCGACACTTTACCCAGAGGCGCAGTTGGTTTGGTCAGATATTTTACCACGCCTGTTACTTTAGGTCTACTAATCCATCAAAAATGGAAAAGAAACGCTGCGCGATCAATAGGTGGGCTCGGTAGTCGACTGGAAGTGTCAGTGCTGCACCACCCTCAGTTCCGATGGTCGGCGTTTGCATTGTATCATTACGATGGCGTCCACTTATCTGACATGGGCAACAAGTATTTTAGAGCCAACTTAGAAGACTACATCGTTACTGCCTTGGAAAAATAAAATCATTTCCCGGGATGTGGGCCTAATGGGTGGCATTGTTCACGTGTTTGCTTGCGTAGGTAGTATCAGAAAGGGAGGCTCGGGTGTCGGGGCGGTCGTCCCAGTGGAGGAACTACCTGGGAGCGACACGCAGTTTCCGAAATAAACAAACAATTTAGGCGACTTATCTCGCAGTGATTACAACGTAAAGTTAGTTGTTAGTAATGTTTCATTTTGTATTTCTTGAACACTACGCCAAGCACCCTCTTGTTCTGGTGGGGCTTATTCCAACTGCCTGTTCAAGCGGTGGAAAAAACGGCGTGCCTTATGTAAGTTTTTCTTCAGTTGTAAAGGATAAATAGAATCACATTAATTATAGGACAAGCACTTACTTGTTCCGGTGAGGTTTGTCTGCATGGCAAGTGTGCCAAGGAATTCCAACTTGCTATGCCAAGTGTGGCAAGTCTTTCTGCTAACAACCGGGGACTTTCCACCTTTTTGTTTGGGGCCTACAAGGTTTAGGGGAAAGTCCCTTTTTTGTTTGGGCTTTGCGGGCAAACTGAGGTCCAGGTCAGGGGGTGAGACCTTTGGCTCGGGGAGGCCAAGGGTCACGGGAATGTTTGAGTGCACACGTAAAAGGGGTCAAAGGTCACAGGTGTTTGGGGAAGTCCCTTCTGGTCTGGGCAGAGTAAAATCCGTGCTGGTCCAAAACTCACCCACCCCTACTACTTTAATATTTCTCAAACTAATCTTTGACTCAACATTCTTCCTCCTTCCTATAGTAACAGGTAACTCAAATAAAAGAAGGTAATGATCAGATAAACCAGTACTGACGACATGTAATTTGAGTACTGAAACACCAGCATCAACTACATGTACATGCTTACCAGACATACATGCAATAGTAGTAGAAATTGCTACTGCGTCTAAACATGGAGGAAGGAAAATCGTCTAAAATATGGCCCTTTGTCTTTGCAAGATGGTCATAAAATTTGTCCACATAACAAGACAGAGGTATCCAGCGGACAATAAACTAGCACAAAAAGTACACTCACTGTGGCAGTCCGAAGAATATACTCTTGGTGCTCATAAGTTCTAGACTGGGAAGTCTTGCAAGTGACAATCAGTGTGTTCCTATAGACAATGCCAACACCTCAACCACGCACATATTCCCTGGGCTTGTGAAGAATACTAAACCACCTGGCAGTAGATAGTGAATTACAGTTCCATTTTCTGTCTCCTTGCAATATCTTGTGTGTTTTGTTTGCAATTAACTACAACTTATCGCCATGACCAGGAAATAGAGAACAAAAAGTTCTAACATTAGATATACTTTTGCCATCTTGAATAAACTTTTTACTTTGATACGCTGTTCCATTATCCATGCAATGTTTGTAATTTTATTTTGTCTTTCCAAAACATCAGGTTTCAAAGTCTTTGTACAGGTACGAATTTGGCTAAGACTGGCCAACATGTTGACCATCACTTGACAGTTAAGTTCATAACAAACAAAATACCCTATTTCATCACAAGGAGTGCTCAAGAGATCTCATGAAATACCTTTTTGCGTAAATGCCATAATAATAATGATTCAAATAAAACACAATATCTTATAAACAACTTGGATATTCATTCCCAAAATAACTCCAGAAGAAAGCATTCGATAAGGGCAATGACTGCAGCACATTAACAGGCAATACAACCTAATACAAGAAACTGTGCAAGCATTAAATTGGATGTTGTTTTCAGGTCATACCAAGCACCATTGATGGCATGAATATTCAACTTCCTATACTGCAGTGTACAATGTTTTAAGGATGCAGATTACCAGCAAAAAAATTCCGGCGATGATCATAAGGTAAAAAGGGGACTTATGGTATATGCGCATGTACTTGTCTCTGGAAGGAAGTGTCTTCTCTGCCGATACATGTACTGGTAGGTGTTATTCTGCATGCTTTTCACCAAGGCTAAGACATTGTGGTTTGTGAATTTAATCAAATTACTGATTTTAATTTCTTAATTTAAATCCAAATTTGTTTATTGTATATAACGGGTTTGCCCTTACCCAACGTATATTAAAAAGCACTGTATGCTCAGTGCTTGTCCGAGAGCTTGCGAAAAAAACCCTCAAAAGCTTACTCTGGTGGGACTCGAACCCACGACCTCCTGCTTACTAGTGCAGATGTCTTAACCACTCGACCACCGAGCTTGCCGGGGTCGGCTGGCCGGTCCAAGTCATATGAATTTTGTTTAAATTTGTTTATGTCACAAATCAAATAAATAAAAGAAAACTATTAAACATGCAGCTAATTTGCTTGCTTTTGAACAGACATTTGCACTAACTTGTCTCAAATTTTTATAATAATAAAAATCTGATTTAAATAATACAACTTTGATTTAAATTTTAAAAAATCTGATTTAAATTTGTTTTTTTAAACCAAAAAATCAACAACCCTGGAACATGCCTCATGCACTGTGCATGCCTATGTTACAGGCAGATATTACACATCCATGCACACAGAAGCCAATGCAAAGTATGCGAATGGGATTTTCGAGTACACAAATATTGTAAGGGGTTTTCGTTGTTGGGGTTTCATCTGGGTTAAGAAGTACACCATCTATGCACTTCATGGAGTTGACTCCAATGTTATAGCTATCATCTAAAGGACAATTCACATCTTTTACAGTTGATTTTTTACCGAATTTTTAAGAATAAAAGGACTTTTTAAGGTAACTTCCAGTCTGATGAGGTCATCGGCCCCAAACTTTACATGTATTGAATTAGTAAATAATTGTACCATCATATCCACTTATTTTCAGGCGATTCTAAAAGATTTTGCTCAGACATCTATTTAAAATTCATTTTTCAGGGTTTTCAACCTGTTGCTAGAGGATGCTCAGTAGATGTTTTGAAGAGTACAATATCTATTACCACTTTTAATTAAGCCCACTTCCGATTTCGACCAGAGGGGCCATGTGATTTGACCCACACAAGATGAATTAAAGACCAAATTTGACTCTGCCACTTGCTACAAACAGAATGTTACATGAGGCCATGGTTCATTTTATTTGTATTTTTAACATTTTACATAATATCTAAATAATCAAAATTTAATATTTAATCACTTTAATCCCAAATCCCTCCATCTCCTCCATGATTTTACATACAGCCTAGAGGATTAGAGTTAAATTCTTTGGACCAACAGCAGGAACACTCTATATTGTTATTATTTAGATTTTCAACTTCATCTGTGTCTGTCTTCTTACACATTATAATGTGAACGCCACTGTCATACAGTTGGTATAAATATTTTGTCTTATACGAATAGATAAGATAAAGTAAATCCATTTGCTACAATTAAATACACCATTTTTAGTAAAGGACTGACTTTTGGGGGGGGGCAATCAAAATTTTCAATTAGCTGGATCTTACATTGCTTTCTGCTTGTTGTTGCTGGGAAGCTGCAATTATTGTCCGGATGCGGCGGTTGTGCTTCAGTAACTGAATGGTATGAATGCTCGTAGCATCACGATGAAATGGCTCTGCCATGCTGAAGGAGAAATTTATGAGAAAGTTGTTGAAGGAAGCCAGCCAAATCTTTTGACTTTCATGTAAACGTTTACATCATTTAAACTTAAGTTTAAGAATTATACCTGTATGACTGATATTGGGGAAGAAGGTGGTAGGAAGGAGAAATTTATATTCTATGAATTACACCCTTTTTCATCCAAATTCAAATTTGGAACCTCAAATGTGCCCCCTGAAACCATTTCTGAAGAAAGGTTGCTTAATGGTTTATTGCCATTATACTTATACAACACTAAATTGCCAAAGGAAATGGAAAACTTTGAAAGTGAAGTTTGCATAAAAAATCAAGCAATTTTTTGATGTTCACACGCAAAGTATTTCTAAAGTTTTGACACTGACAAGATTCCTGTTGTTACAGCTGTTGTGACCTTGACCTTTGACCTTTTGCTCCCAAATTCACTAGGCTTCTCAGCATAAATAGCATTCCTTAAAACCAAATTTGAAGTTTATATGCAAAGTACTTCTCAAGCTGTTGTGCTGACAAGATTTCTGTTGTTTTAGCCATTGTGATTTTGACCTTTTTTTCGGACCCAAATTCAACAGGCTTTTAGGATCACCTATAGTAATCCGCAAACCAAATTTGAATTTCATAAGTATTTCTCAAGTTGTCATGCTGACAGGAATATTCCAAGGCCAACCCAACACACCTACATGTGGTGTGGACACTCCTTTGTTTTCATGCAGTTAAGAAAACTTGGTAAAAAGACTCATTTTTCTTGAACTGGGATCACAATTTTCAGCTGAATTTTTGTAAAATGTTTCCTTGACAGTTCAGGGCCCTTCCTTTAACAACCGATAACCCTAAACCCCTCAAATACCTCTATTTCAGAGAAGGAGAAACATCCTGTGGACACGGTACTGTAAGTCCACAGAGTGTCTTCCCTTATTCCCAACCAGAGGCAGAAAGGCCAGTTTCACTGAGGTGAGCAATGATGAGGTCTCGAATAGCGCAAGGGAAACATTTGAAGAGCTTAAGGACACGAGACCGGCCCCACCAATGAATGAGCCGTCTCAGAGGGAATGCTCAGTAAATATACTACGAGAAGATACTTGTCCTGTGACATACATGTATAGTGGATGTCATATACATGTATTAACAAACATAGTGTCCTCCCATGGCGAAGTGTATCATAGGTGTCATTTACCAGAATAAAAGCAAATGGTCAATAAAGTACTCAGAGTATTGATGTGTTGAGCACTATCCTGAAAATTGGCCTTTGTTTTGGTAACACGTCAAGCACATTTTGCCATGGGAGTGGTACCCACCCGTACATGTAGGGCATGTGATTTAGCATGCACATCGGTTTATTCAGTTTACTCAGAGGGTTTTTTTTTTTGGTTGATCCACTTATATTCATGACTTCATTTGGAAGGTAACCATGTTCAATATTCTCCATGCACATATCTGCCTAAATTTTCATCTCCTAGTGTGTTATTACTTGCTTCATCCACCAAACTGGATAGGATTGCTAATTCAATTTACCCAATGCGTTGCCTCTTGTATAAATACCAACAAAACAATTGCTACATGTATTTGTTTTCCATGGTAAACATAATTTATTAATCTTAATATTATTAAGATTATAAATGTTGCTAACAAAGGGACAAGTGGTTTGGCGGCACTCATCCAAACAAGTATGTGGTTATGGAGATCTGATGCCCTATTCAAATTACTAAGAAATTCTGAATATTTTGATCACATTAATGTACATGTATGAACTCATGGTGGGGATAATTCAACATGGCAATACTACTCTTCTCAATGCTGCACATCAGTCTCATTTCACCTCCTGGTGAGATGTCACATATTTTGCACCTGGTATCACAATCTATGACCAGGGAAACTTTAAGCCCTGAGATTTGAATACCAATTTTGTACCCTTTCAAACTACCCACCAAAAACTTCGCCATTCTAAGTACCCGGTAATACGACCTTTGACTCCTGAACTTTGAGATCTTCACACGATTAGTCATGTAACATGACACCCGTGGGAACTCAGTTTGAACATGCGCATTATGTTAATGAGGAACTCCCATGATACGTCGCGAGAATTTCAGAAAAGCAGAGTGCCCTAACAGGATTGACACTGTTGCTGGTATAAAGCATTTTTTGAATTGTTGAAAATGCAATCGAAATTTAATGCAATTAAAATTGGCGGGAAATTTAACTTTCATGAATATACAGTATATGCAAATGAACCCTATTGACCAATTAAGAATAATTTCACAATCAGAACCAATTATATCGAGTGCTGGAAACAATTTGGATGGACATTTGCCAGATAAGTTTATACCAATTTTGCTATAAAAATATAAATATGTTCGGTTGAGCGACAGGAGCACATATTTCTTCTCTTCTTTTCTTAGCAAAGTCCAGCGCTTCACAATGGGACTCTTAATAAGCAAAACGGGAGTTGGTAGTTTTCATGGGAAATATCATAAAGGAATCCAAGTGCTGAATAGTGCAAGGTCAAGCAGATAGCCTGTTTTGGCTAGGAATAAACTTCAAGCTGAGAAGCCTCAGCCTAGGCTAGCCTGAGATCTGTTATCACAGAAAAAGGGCCCGGCTTAACATGCTCAACTAAATACACATCTAAAGTTTCAGCATAGGCCCACCTTTTTAACAACACCTTGAAGATTAAGCTTGGCCTAGGGCTGAAGTTATGCTAAGCATAGCCTTGGAGGCTAGGCTTAAACAACATTTTACCATGGTAAGTAAGGGACAGGATCAAAAATACAGAGACAGTTTGCACGTGTTCCTTTCCATTCTGCACGCCCTCTCCTTCACCCCCATTGCGAAGGGCACTTTGGAATGCATTCCTGCCCGTTTTCTTGCAAGAGTGATTCAGAGGGTATTGTTATGTAAATTGTCCGTTCCTGCCCATGCCAGACTGGCAGCGTCACAACAAAGATGCAAAGAACATGCACACAAGCTGTTCCTGAGTCTGTCAGTTAAATATGTGTCAACTGTTTGGTTTAAGATTTTATTCCTCCTGCTTACACTCATGCTGACCCTTTGATGTACCGACTTAAAAAAAGGAACTGACATTAGGCAGACAACCGACCACTTGCATTCATCATCTGAATTATCACCCCAAACTGCTAGCTGCTTTGGATATTTCTGGATGAAAAGTTTTCCATTACCATTATCACTTTAACGTAAAAAAATTTGAGATTTTCCTAGACATTTCAATGGAACTAACTGTTGAAGGTTTCACAAAGTTCATTTGACACAACCTGGGTTAATTTTTATTTTCAAAAGATGCTGCAAAAATCGAAACACTTCGGGAACTCTCTAGAATTCAGTCTTTGAGCTACCCAGTCTAGCTTGAACCCTTCAGTACCCTTGCCAAGATTCGATTTGTCTTAACATTGAACAAAAATATTCAGCTGTTTTAAAACTTAATATCAAGATTTTTTTAACTGACGTAAACGCCAATACACAAAAAAATGCCTTGGGAATAAATGATTATTTTTAAGTGGCTCGGCAAATCCAGATGATGAAAAATTCTAGAATAAATCCACCAAAGCTCTGCAGGAAAATAAATCTGCTGAGGAGCGATTGACAGCTCTTTTTTTGTTGACACAATGTACATTTTAAGTATTTGTATCTGGGTCACATATCTTTGAAGATGCAGCTACTTCTAGGAAGACTTGCAGGGCAGATATATCGATCGTACATCCTCAGCCAATTAATAAGTTGCTCCCTTGCAAGCAAAGCAGCCATTGGTAGGATTGTTATACTTGCACAGTCCCAGAGTAACGCCAATGTTGCCAAGAAACAGTATTACCATGGGAAATCCTGAGTCCCCTCATGCATGCTGCCTGGACCATGCCTGGCCGCTAGCCAGGCTTTGTTGTACAGCCCTGGACGAATTAAATAATGTTCCTTCACCTCCTTCTCTTGACATTAATTTGTGGCAAATAGCGTACGACAAAGACGTTTTCCAGGCCTCAAAATTTATAAAACAACTTTTTCCACAAAACATTCATCTTTTTGGAAGATAAAATATTCTGCTGAACAGGCCAAATGAATATATTTCTCATAATTACACAGTGATAAATTGCAACAATCTCCCCTCCGTTCTCTCTTTTTCTTTTTTTTTTTAAGTCGTATGTCGCCAATAGTAGCATATCGGCTTACACTGGGACAACCACAAATGCACTGTTGTTGAGCTACATTAATGCATTAAATGTTCTTTTTTGTTCAAGGTGCCTGAAAAAGATTAAACATCTTTAAAAACAACAGCCAGTTGGGGGCTGAAATGTTTTGCCTAGATCTCAATAAAAAAAAATCTGAAATGGTATAATAAATTTGTGAAGGTGATAATGTGCTCGGATAGGGAGGGATACAACCCGGAATGAAAAGACAATGCAATTGGCAGGGCTCAAAATCCTTCCCCTAATTCTAGTGTGAAGAGTGCTAACACCATAAACACTAATGTGTTTTTCTTCAAGTTCAGTATAGGCATGCTCCAAATACCGAATGAAAATAATGGTGCGATCCGCAAACTAGAAAGGCTGGAACGATGTTTTTACTCCATAACAAACACCCCTCTCAAAACTTTATACAATGTATATCTTTTTGTGAATAAGAAGCGAGGTATTACTTAGTGGAATGCAGTACTTAAGTACTCTACTTCAGACAGTTAAAAAGAAATGCCTTAAGCAGGATATTGGCCCGACATTTAATATTCCCCGCAGTTCACTAAGAATTTCATTTCCTATCTATGGTATGCCATTCTTGTTTCGGGGACTTCACATTTTCTTCACAAAGGTTTTGGGCCACCATGGGGGCCACAACATCTTACTGTGTGCACAGACCATGACAGGTCTTTTGTTGTAGAGGAACGCGAGGGAATGGGAAGGCCGTTCTCATGCATGTAAAGTGGAGGTAGCTTGAACAAAAGAATGTCTTCCTGGCATTCGCACACGTAAGAACGGTCAATGTATTTTTATTCC